GGTTAAAGGTCACCTACTCAGCTACTAAGGTGTAGAGTTTGGGATGCCCGGGTCTTGCGGCTTACGGGTGGAGGGCTTCAGCACTGACGCATTTGGGATATTCAGGCTTTGGGGTCTTCGTCGCAAGCCCCAAACCAATGCAGGGGCCTTGCAAGGGGTCTATTATACTATAATTATAAAGGGTTCAGGGTTTAGGTTTCAGGGTTTAGGTGGGCTTGAGGGGAACCACCCAACTAGTATTGGTAATCATTTTGGCCTCTACATCATTCGATCCTACCAACTCGGCTTCATAAGGGTCTTACAAGGGCCCTGACGGGATGTGATATGGCCTGACCCTGAACCCTAAACCCTGGACCCTAAAATCTGCTGAGTCTGAGGTTTCGGGGTTTGCAGATTTAGGTTTTTGTCCGGAGAGAGACCGGCCGGCAACGTTTGCCTCAAAGCATAATGAAGCTTACAAAAAGGCCCTTAGACCTACTTGGGGCCTAATGGTTTAGGGTTTAGGCTTAGGGAGTGTAGGCCTAAACCCTACAAGCCCTAAACCCTAACTAGGGCGCACCACACGTCGCCAAACGCGACGTGCTTCAACACGACAGTGGCATCTCCGGCGGTGGCCGTTATGGTCCAATCGCCTGGGTAGGTCGGACTACCTTCAAGACGAAATGAACCCTAAGGGTTCAAGGTTTAGGGTTTAGGGGTTTAAGGTTCATATACCATATAGGGATTCATAGCAAAAGGGTATAGGGCCCTTACTTAGGGTAAAGGACGTTAGGATACTTCCGGTCCTTTACGGGCTTCAGGCCTTGTCCTTGTTGGTTAGGGGATATTCGGATTTAGATTACAAGACCGAAGCCAGTCAGCACCAAACCCGAAAACCCAAACCCGAACGACTCAACCCATGAACTCTGAACACTGACAGATCCCTAAACCAGGGGTACCCGTTCCATGAGGAACCTACAAGCTTTAAGCCCCAACCCTAAACCCTGAACCTTAAACCCTAAACGCTGAACCCTAGGCCCTCAACCGTAAAGCCCGGAGCCCTGGAAAGTTGAAACCCAAAGAGCCCCAAAGCCTCCTGAAAGCAAGCCGGCTTAGTTTATAGGGGTTCAGGGTTTAGAGGTTTAGGGGTTTTAGGGTTAAGGGGTTTGGGCGTTCAGGGATTAGGGGTTTAGGGGGTTTTGGGAGTTTTAGGGTTTAGGGGTTTAGGGGGGCTAGGGCCAGGGGTTTAGGGTTTAGGGTTTGGGGTTTAAGGGGGGGCCAGGGGTTTAGGGTTTACAAGCCGAGTGGCCGCCCTTGAAAGTCGGGGTAAGAAGGGCCTTCCACTGCCCGTCTTTGACATCCGCCTGCTCCCCAGCTTTAGGGTTGGAGGGCTTTAGGGTGTTTAGGGTTTGGGGTTTAGGGGTTTAGGGTTTATAAGGCTTCAGGGTTTAGAGTTTAGGGCTTAGGGTTTGGGGTTTAGGGCTTCGGTGTTTATTTGCGGCTTTCAGCTTCTTTGAGCAGGCTTCATTGATGTTCAACAGTCTTTTGCTAAGTTCCAGGGCTTGGCGGCTTCCGCTGTGAAACCTCAACCCTCAGCCCTCAGCTGCATACATAGACCCTAAGCCCTGTAAGCCCCCTTACACGTAAACCAACCACCCGAGACCCGAAGCCACATGGCTCCTCAAAAGTCTTAAGGAGTTCACCCCAAAGTCCTGGTCTGCTCCTAAACCCTACACCCTTCTATGCCATGTATACGTAGAATCCTTCTCAAGCTCAGGTAAGGCACCCAAGGAACCAGCACCTGCGCCACACGGGTCGCCTGTGCCTTCTGGCGCTCGTTCTCAACCGAAAGGGTTGGGAGCGGTGGCGATAGGATCCGCGGCGCCTGCGTGGTTCCCTTCGCCGCAGGTGCCACACCCCGGGGAAGCTCCGGTGCCCTTCTTCTCAGCCTCCGCGACTTTGGGCGCCGGCGCCTTTCCTGGCGTTTTTGCAAGCGCCTGTGCCGACTTCGCCTTTGCGACAGGTGCCTCCTCAGCCATGACGAAAGATCGAGCTCGAAAACGATCGAAACGACAGGATACTGAAAGTTTGAGAACGCTCAAGGAACCAGCAAGGCCATGAGTCATGACAACGCTTTCACCCCAATGCAGAGACGCCCCCTTTTCAAACCCTCTGACGATCAGCCGGCACAGGACACATTCAAATGCACGTAAAGGAACTGCTGCACTGCATCGGCGCCTCCGCCGTCCCCTGACTCCTACACCCTGAGCCCCAAACCCTAAGCCCTATACATCCGAAACCCGAGCCCTAAATCCTACACCCTAAACCCTACACTCTAAGCCCTACACCCGAAGCCCTAAATGCTAAGCCCCTAAACCCAAGCCCTAAATCCTACACCCAGGTTTCCAGATTCGGACATCCTAGGCCCCTTGCGAGTACCCGGTTTAGGGTTTAGGGGTTTAGGGTTTAGGGTTTAGAGTTTAGGGTTTAGGAGTACCCTCCGAAAGCCCAAGACTTCTTGCTAAGGTTGAACCTAGTATGGGCCCTTAACCTGGGATCCTTATACACCTACTATACACCCTACATGTACCCTTAAGGGTCCCTAGAAAGGCCTAAAGGTCCATATTAGGAGCCCATACTTCTAACCTTACCTTCTTATTCAAAGACAGTTTAGGGGTTAGGGTGTGGGGTTTAGGGTCTAGGGATTTAGGGTTTAGGGATTTAGGGTTTAGGGCTTCCAGGGTTTAGAGCTTTTCGGGTTTGTAGATACAGCAATATGCATATATATATATATACACACATACATAGTAGCTGTGTATATGACATCTTCTGAAGTCTTCAAGGTATATTCTGGTGCTTAAGGTGGCAAGAGATGTTTACAAATGCCCGCAAAATCTTACGGCCCTGATAGACGACGTGAGAGTTCCGGAAAAAGCACACTCAATGTCTCAGGTTCACAACCTGATATGGTTTAAGGTTCAGGATTTAGGCTTCGGGGCTTTAACATTCAAGGCTCTGTCAGGCTGTTGCATTCTGCTTCTTAAATTAGGGTTCCTGAGGACATGCAACGAACCCCAAGCCGTCGGCCAACCTCGACGATGTAGCCGATTCCGTGCTCGGCAACCTCGTGGCTTGCCACAGATCGACTGACGTCATGGGCTAGAAGGAAGATTGTGCACAGAAGTTGAGAGTTGAAGCCTAACTCGGTTGCAGATGGTGCCACTGAGATGGCTCATGTTTGCAAGTAGCCACTCGTGTGATGGTGGTCACGATGACGGAAATGCTGTGGATGGGGTAGCTGTTCTTACCCGTTTGCATTGCTTCAGTTGCCTACTGTGGATGATTCAAATCCTGCATTATACCTTAAGGACCCTAAACTACGGGAATGATGGTATATTCCTTATTATGGGTAATGCAAGATGTCTATCATCAACCGTAGTTCCGCATGAACGCTCCTTTTGCTTGCGACTACACAAGCACCGCAGCGTCCTCTAGCGAAGCCCTAAACCCTAAACCCTTTAAAAGAAAAAAATCTAAGCCCTAAGCGAAACTTGGCTTCCTTGCACATGCATTCCAGGGCAGGGTTCTCAAACAGCATTTCAGTGATCTTCTACTCGACGTCATCCCATCAACCACTCCATGAACCCTGCTTGGACCCTAAAGAACTTACCTTCTTAGGGTTCCTTATTATGATTTCTTTATATAAGATCCTTACGAAGGTAGGTTATTTGGGGTTACGGTACACCGTGAGAGCTTGTGGTCTTCCCTGCACGAACCCGCTCCAACCCGCAAGTTCACCTAAAACCCGAAAGAGCTAAAGAAGTCGTCATGACAAATGCTAAGTCCATGGTTCTTAGCAACATCAGGGTTTAGGGTTTAGGGTCGAATCACCACCATCATCTTCTCATCGCGTGTAGCAGCTGATTTGACAGTACGGGTGCTCAGCGAACCGACGATCTTCAATCCTGTGAACCTCAAACACTCTCCTATCCTCCAAGCCTAGGCTTTGGGGTTTAGGGTTTAGGGGTTTAGGGTTTAGGGTTTCGGGCCTCCGTGGTCTGCAAACATTCTGAGCATGAACTGCAGCATCCCAGAATTGCTGTTAGAAAAAGGGCCTTGAGCGACACCTTCGCGACACCCGAGGCGCTGCCAAAGACGGCGGCCTGCGAAACCAGACTGGAAGAACGCAGAACTCTGGAAATCTCAGCAGAGCATCTCCACCCTAAACCCTAAACCCCTAAACCCCTAAACCCGAACCCCTAAACCCTAAAACCGAAACCCTACCCAACTGCAGGACCTTTGCCGGATGTTGCTGCAGGACCATGTAGTCACCTGAGATCGGTTGTTGCAGATTGGGATCTCCAAGACAGTTCCTACGCTTTCATAAACGCAACCCTTAGATGGAGACGATGCGTCCGGCTTGGGGCGGTTCAGGGTTCAGTTTAGCAGTTGCGGGCGTCGTTTTGGCCTGAGATAGAGGCCACGGAAAGGCGTACGAATCGCAGCTTGGGCTTCGGGGTAATTTTCCCCATGTGAGCTGGAGTCTGCCAACCCATGACCACGTCGACGAGCACAGCATAGTTCTCAACTTGCACACCTGCATGTCTGAATCCACATGAACAGGTGTTCGTGCTCGCGAAAATGAACAGAGAAAACGACCGGTGTGGAAAAAAGAGGCCTGCGTGATACAGCTACGTTTGTTCGGACAAGCACATGAAACGAACATGAACAAAACATCAACACTCACACGGATAGACAAACTGTCTATATATGTACGTACATACATACATATATAGACACAATGTGCGTGGCTTTGAGCCCAAACTGTGCATGAGCCGATCAGCCCATCAGCCGATCAGCCAAAAACCCTAAAACCTCAACCCTAAACCCGAGACCCTAAAACCCTAAATCCTAAACCCGAATCCCAAAACCCGAAGCCCTAAACCCCAAACCCCCAAAACCCCTAAACCCCAAACCCCCAAACCCTAAACCCCCAAAAACCCTACACCCTAAACCCGAACCCATTAGCCGACCACCCGACCAACGATCAGCCGATCAACTGATCGGCTGATGCGCAGTTGGGAAACCCAGCCTGCGAGCACAATGCACATACATACATACATACATACATACATAAATATATACATACATACATGGGCATGTATGTTTTCTTCCGCTATATGTATGCAGAATCTCTCTCTATATATACTATATAAATCTGTTTTTATATGTGTACATGGGTGTGTGTATATATATATATATATGCTCATTCCGATGTGTTTTCTAATTCCCTGCTGTCAGGTCGCCGAAGACTTCGGCAAAGCTGACGTTCCCGGCTGCAGAAGCGCTTCTGCCTAATCTGGGGGGTCTTACTTGGAGGGTTTAGGGTTTTGGGTTTAGGGTTTAGGGTTGTGGGACTTAGTAAGTAGGCAATGAATAGACTCATAAAAAGCAACCTAAAACGGACTCTAGTTGGGATTCTGTTACCTATAAGTCCATAAAATACTTAGGAGCCTTAATGGTCAGTTGGGCTTAGTATAGGACCGTGGTTGTTTGGGTAGTTCTCGAAATTAAGGTCCCTTTTTGGGTCCCCGATATAGAGTACGGCACCTTTAAAGAAAGGACCCCAAAAGGGACCCTAATTTAGAGAACTACCCATTTGGAATACGGATTGAGGGGTGAATGGTAGAAGCATACCGGGCTCGGGATCACCATGACCAACTACTCCGAGCCTTGCGCAGCGCAAAGTTTAAGGAGTTTGGGACTGTTTAAGGATTTAGTGTAGGGTTTAGGGGACAGCGCGTCGTTTGGAAGGGCTGTATGTAACGATATCTTCGTTGGTGTCGGTTATGTGGCAATAGGTTATCTTCTTTGCTGTCTCTAGGACTCTAAAATCCTGGCCACATACCTGGCCAAGTAACTCAAACCACTTACATCGAAGGGTATAGCTAGTGGGCTTCATTTGGAGGTTCAGGGTAGGTCGGGCAGGTGCTCCTTTTCAAACGCTAAACCCTAAACCGAACCTAACCGTTCCCCTTTTTTTGGCAGTTGGGATCCTAGGATTCTACGACAGGTGGTGTTTGTAATGGGCCCCTCAACTTTTCTGAAAGCCCTCCCCCACTGCAAAAAACCTGAGCAAGGTGCTCTTCAGCTGCTATGCTAGGCGACTGTGACGGCTTGACAGACTCGGATTTGTTGCAGCATGTATCGCCCAATTCAGGAATTTTACGCTTTGCTGGGTTAGGAGACCCTAAACCCGAAACCCCTAAACCCCAAAACCCTGAAACTAAGCCCTATATAAGCCCTATAAACCCCAAGCTCTAAACCGTTGTGGGCTTTACGACTGCTTGCGCAATTCCCTGACAATTGTGTTAAGGGGTCGGGGTAAGGTGTAGGAGTCTAGGGCCTAGAGTTTAGGGTTTTATGTTTTCGGCTTGGGGCCTAAAGCCCTAAACTCTAAACCCTAAACTTTAGACCCCAAACCCTAAAGCCCTGAACTCTAAACCCTAAACTTTAAATCCCTATAAACCCTAAACCCTAAAGCCCTGAACCCGAGACCCTAGCCTTGGGTCTGGGAGTTGAGGGTTCGATGTGTGCGGGGCGACTTTCGATTTGGGGCTGTGTGAAAGCCTACTGCGCTTAAGGGCTCAACTCTCTGGTGGAGGGTTCGAGTTTAGGGTTTGTTTGGGGGGGTTTAGGGTCTAGGGTCTAGGGTTTAAGGTTTATTAAGGGGCAATAGCCTACTATTTTGTAGGGTTTGAGGTTACAGGGCCTGCTTGACCGAATGCTCGGGAGCCCTGCAATAAAATTTGCATTCCAGACTCACAGGGAGCACTCGGTGTGAATATGAAACCCAAACACGTATATGTGATATGAGAAGCTGATAAAGAACCCCTGATTCTTAAGATGGCTCCATTAGGTAGGGATTTACATTGCTTCGTTTCTGCCCCCACTGCCCCGCACCCCCACCCCAGACGCAAGCAAATATCAGGTACTGGAGGTATGCATCTTAACCCTAAACCCTAAACAACCCTGAACCCCAAACCCTGAGAGTCCTGTGCTAACCGTCCTTACATCCCGTAGGCTATGCAATGCCAGGGTGCATGCTATTGTCGCCAGCAGCGCGGGCAGTGCTACTCTCATGGCGGACTTCATTCTCACTTCTTTGCAAGGGTGACCGTCACCAGCTACCAGTATCTTGTACGCTGAACGATACTAACATAACATGGATAACTGGGAAACGAGTCTACGCAGCAGCACTTCGGAAGGAGTTTGCAAGCCATTCGCACCAACAAGTGAGATGTGCCAGCAAATCTTTCAGGTATACTTCATACCAAGAACCGCATAGCGATGAATATTGCAGCAAGCCTGAGCAACAAACGCAACGCGTCGATATAGCTCCCGAACTGTGTACTAAGGTTTCTGGACAGAATCCTGCGTTATAACACATAAGGCATGTGCAACCCTTCCTGTAAATCAGGCTGATAAATACGTGGCTGACTTCTGAACCCCTCCTATAAGTTTAACTTTTAGCCTGCTTATTCTAGTTCATCTAGAAGCCCAAAAAATTAGAGTCCTAAGGGCCAAGCAGAAGAAAGCCAAGAATAGAATCCCCGGCTTTGGGCACCCCGAAAGGCTTTGAGCTCCTGTGGGCCTTGGCACTGATAGGGGCCAGAAGATGATCCCAATATAGAATCCCTACCTTAGCCCCCAATAACCGACCTTTGTAAGGACGTATATAAGGAAATCATATTCAGGAACCCTAAAAAGGGTAGGTTCTTGGGGGTCCAGGTAAACCCTAAACCCCAGAATCCTGTGCCCCCAGGATTTCGGTAGCCGAGCATGGTGCAAGGCTTGGGGGCTTAGGGTTTAAAAGGGTTGTGAGCTGAGCCGCACGTTCAGTTCATATGCCGTACTTGCTTTAGTTGGCGAGTTTACAAGCGCACAAAGGGTTGAAATTTCAGCTGTTAAATGTTGCACTAAACCAACACACACTTCTGGTTTACAAGGTCTGCTTCTGCAAATAGACCCTGAATCCGACTCGCAAGTGCCCTGGACATTAGTTAAGCCTAAGACCTCAGATTCAACCCTCGACCCTAGACCCTAAACCTTCGACCCTAAACCCTAAACCCGAAACCCTGAACATTGAACCCTAAACGCCACCAGCGCGCAATCCGCAAGACCAGTGCTCCCAAAAAACGCAGCAGCCGCCATCCTCCAGCCCAGACCCAAGCCCAAGGCACGAATGCTCCAAAGACCAGCCTCAACACAAGTAAGCCCCAAAGCCTCAAGGCCCTCACTACCCATAGGCTCCATTGTCGTTCCTTTTTGGGGATAACCTTATAGGATTCTAAACATAAACCACAAACAGCAACAACAATGCAGCCTATAGAGAAAGCCCTCACCCGCAATCCAAAATGCTGACACCTCTGAGCCTAAACCCTATAAACCCTAAACCCTAAACCCTAAACCGCCCCCCCAAAATCCTATAGTAGCAGCCCAAAAGTTGGAAACCCAAAGCCTCAATCCTTAAGAGACATATACTGGGCTTTGAAGTAACCAGGGAGAAAAAAGTATAGACTTTTACCTTATAATGGTTCTTTTAAGGAACAGGTCCCCAAAAAAGTATTAAAGTATGGTACTCCAAAGCCCAGTATATAGGGAATCTCAGCATTACTTGACCTGAATCCGGCTTCCAACTTTGGCCGTGTTTGCTATAAACAACTTGTGCCAAAGCCCTCAACCCCAAGAGACCTCCACTGCCCAAATCCCCCAACCCCACTCAAAAACAATTTCGAAACTGGAGCCCCAACCCCGTGACCCATCGCTGAGCCCTGTACTGGACTTTGATGCAACCAGCCAGAAAAAAAAAAAACGGCATAGACTTTCTTTCCAGAATGGTTCCTTTAAGGAACAGGTACCAAAAGAAGTATTCAAGTATGGTGCTCCAGAATCTAGTATAAGCCCAAAAACAAACAAAAAAAGGAACCACAAGAAATGCGAGGTATTTGGGCCCTAAGCCCTAAACCCTAAACAGGAGCCTCAAAGCCCACACGGGCGCCCGGATCTGGGTGCCAAAGTGCTGGGGCCCTGCCTGCAACTGCCGAAAACTTACAGGGTCTTGGGTTTCTAGGGGTTTAGGGTTTAGGGCTACAGGGTCGGTTCAGGGTTTAGGCTTACAGGGTCTTGGATTTCTGCGGTTTAGGGTTTAGGGTTACAGTGTCTCGGATTCTAGGGTTCAGGCCCTTAGGCTTCAAAGTTGCTTATGGGTTTGCGGAGGCTCTATATGGGGGTTTCCGACAATAGGGGGCCCTAATATAGTACCCTTAATAATAGAATCCTTCTTATAAGGACCCCAAAATAAGGTACCCCTAATTTTCGGAAAGTCCCATAAGAGTTCAGGGTTTCAGATTCTTCGGAGGCTTCTGAGGGCTCAACTAGAGTTAAGGGCGCAAGCTATTGTTTGGGTTTAGGGGTTTAGGGTTTAGAGGTTTAGGGTTTAGGGTTTAGGGTTTAGGGTTTAGGGTTTAGGGTTTAGGGTTTAGGGTTTAGGGTTCAGGTTTAGGGTTTAGGGTATCGGGCTTGGGGCTTCTAGAGCAAGCCCCAGAGCGCTGGAAACCCGATTATAGTGCTGGGATTCCCTATACATTACTCTTAGGGTTTAGGGTTTAGGGTTTAGGGTTTAGGGTTTAGGGCTTAGGGTTTAGGGTAAGGATTGAGGCTATTGAGGTTTCCAACTTTCAGGCTTCTACAATATGGGATGCACACTCAAGGCATACTGGGAGGACAGGATTTACCCATGGGCTCCATTGTAGTTCCTGCTTGGGATTACCTTATATAGGATTCTAAATATGAACCAAAAAAGGGAACTACAACGGAGCCTGCAGGTAATAAGGTCTCTTGTCCAGGGTTTCGTGGTTAGGGTGGAGGGGCTTTGTAAGGACACAGCGCCCTCGAACTACTTCGGGGCTCCCTAGCCCAAACTTTGAAATAGACCTGTGGATACAATAAGCAATGCAAGAAGGTGAACAACGTCAAACTTGAATCCCGGTCGGCCCAGACTATATTGAATGAAGTTGCTTCCAGTCCTTTGCGATTTGGGCGATTTGTTGGGCAAACTTGCTCCTTCCGAGCTCTATAGAACTATAGAACAAATTTTGCTGGGATTGGGCTCTTCGTGCTCGTCTTTCCTCCTTTAGAGGCTTTCCGGCTGCCGTTTCTACCTTGTCGCAGGCAATAATGTCGAGAAACTGTCTGTTTATCACCTTCCTGAGCTTTCCGGTTAAAAACCCGCCGGGAGCTTATAATGAAACCTTAAAGCCCCATATCCCACACGCTAAACTCTAAACCCCAA